AAACAACAATATCACCAGAGGAGTCGTCACAAGCAAGCTTGCTAGTCTCAGCCCGGCGACACAGCACTGTTGGAGGAATATGACAAGCAAAAACAAGCCTCAAGATATCTTCATTCGAATTGAACAAACTAGAAAGGGTACTCACCTTAGACCCATCATCATCAAGTCCCACTTTACCTTTGCGCTTCTTCTTTTAGGGTCGTAAGAAGTGATCTGAACCACCATCTAGGAGGTCTTGAGGGATTTGCCTTTGAGAAGTCACACTTGGATGAGTCAGATCGTGATCACCAAAAGCGACACCCAAAGCTTCCTTGTCACCTTCAGTGTTTAGCCCAGCACCTGGAGGGGTACCTGATGCTTTATACTTGCCCAAACGAGGCAACCTAGCACCTAGAGAGGTGTCTGACCACCTTTGCTAGCCCAAATGGGGCAGCCCAGCGCTGTCTGGCCCTCCAAAGTTACACAAAACAGCTCCAAAGGTGTCCAGATCAGCGCCTGAAGTGGCGCCCAGATCTGCCCCTGCGCCCAGGCTGTTGCCAAGCTCCCTTGCTGCACGTCTGTTGGCCTGGGCAACCCCTTTCTGGCCTACTCGCGACTGTCCAACTCTCCAGTCTGCGCCCCCAAGCTGTCCAGTCCGCCTGCCTGCACGCCCAAGCTACCCAATCCATCTGCCTGCACGCCTAAGCTGTCCAACCCACCTGTCTACGGACCCAAGCTGCCCAGCTCGCTTGTCTGCGAACCCAAGCTGCCCAAATGGTCTAACCCAGTGCCCTTAATACTCAGGCAGCCCTTTACACTCCTCCTAAAGCTGAACAACTCCTCTAAATTGTCCAAACCAGCGCCTAAAGTGGCGCCCTGTTCAGCGCCTACTACCTCCCTCCCTTCGATCTCCACCATTTCAATGGAATTTCACACATCTCCCTCTTCAATCGACATTGCCCACTTAGATACTCCACCCAAAGTTTTCAAGATTGGGTGCTCAATCTCAAGGTAGGTGAAATGGGTAGATCTTGGGCTCTCAAGATTTTCAAGAATAGGTGTTTAATCTAAAGGTGAATGAAATGGGAAAAATGAAGAAGAAGGTTATATTTATAGCCTAGGGTTTTCAAAGAGGGAAAAGCCCAAATTGAAAATTATGAGCCCTCTTAAAAATCCTAACAAAAGTGGGAAAGACTTGAAGTGTGCACCAAAGCAAAAATGCATCATGCAAGTAAAGAGTCATCTAGCAAAAGAAGTCTCCGTCACTTATAACTCAAGATGCAATGCACCTATCTCCAAGTTTCCTTGGACACATGGCATTGGGGGACAAATGATTGGTCAATCCCAAATAGCTCAATTTATGAGTAAAGCCCAATCCCAATTAAGAAGCCCAACCTTGTAAAAGACCCTCCAAGCCCAACACAATCCAAGACCAGTCAAACTTTTACGTCATCAAGAAGGATAGTATGGGGCCTTACCTGCACCACAGAGGAAATAGTCCACCCTCACCTCATCTTTGACCACATCTGATATAGAGCTCCTCAACCTCCTCGCTCGTTGAGAAGAAGTCATGAGCTCCACCAGAATAGTTGTTTAGTTGTTGTAAAGTAGCCCCAATCTGTTAGGGAGCCACTATAAATTGCATACACCACCAACACTTGGAGGGCATCACACTTTTACCTGAGCACGATTCTCTCCTCTCCCTCAAAGCTTGTACTCTCTGCTCCCCACACCTTTGAGTTAATAAAGTATCCGGCGACCAAGGTTATTCAAAAATGGATGTAGGTCACGATTTAACCGAACCACTATAAATCTTGTCTCCTCCATCTCTCTTTATTTTTAATTACTACATTTCTTTTCAATCACTTGACAGGTGGTGTGCAAAACCATTTTGCGCATCATCAAACAGTAACTATTTTTTTTTCTAATTATCTCCACCGACAAGATGAGATTCTAAATGTAATGAATAATTCCCTTAAGGACTCATGCTAGATCAATGGACTAGTGTTTTCTGAACAGTGGTCTACACTCCTCATGTCATCCTTAGTGAAATTTCATGCATATCAGTAGGACACTATCTATATATACAACCTTTTGCTATAATGCATTTTTGTACTCAATAAACAGTATTTAGTATATCATACACTCAACTACTTTAGATTGTTGGAGAAAATTAGCATAATTATACATAATTTTAATTTTTAAACTAATATCAATATCACATAAACAAACACAAAATAACAATGAATTTAAAATGAAATAAAATAGATAATATAAATTAGAAAGAGTTGACCTACGAGTTCGAGAGTCGTGTGAACACTGTTCTAAAGCAATTGAGTCTCCCCGCGTGAGGATACTGAAGGACACCAGTGACTCCAAGATCAAACTCAAACACTCACTGTAGTACCTCCTTAATGGTCACGTCCACTAGAAGAAATGGGTGAACATGACTCGAATCGAAGTTGCTCAAAACCATAATCGGAAGATACATCTACAATATATATGAAAAATGATACATACTACAAAAACATATATATCTATTAGATCATATGAGCTCCTTTTATATATACTTGAGAACGCTAGCCATTAGAGTCTTTTAAGGTCTACCATCTAGTAACCCCCACCACATAAAGGCATTCAAATGCCCAATTAAAATAAAATATAATTATTCAATTAAATTATATAAAAATAAAATTAAATCCTAAATTAAAAGTGATTCATTAAAACATATAAAATAAATTAAATGAGAAATTTTAAAGCTTTTATTATTTTATTTTTCAACATATAGAATACTGCGAAATAAGATACAACACTAGCTATGACATTCTGTCCACAATGCCTCTATCCATTATATTTTCTATGTGTATGACGTGTCACACCTACGCATCACTAAATTTATTCAACTAGGAAAGCAAGATTACATCAAAATAGATATGTCGGACATCACTCTGTGTAAATTAAAGGTTTTTTGGTAGACAAAAATTATTCAACAGAAGCCATTGTTGTCGCAAAATTTCTCCAATTAAAAAATATCTCATCTCCATGGTTTACAATTGTCAAAATTTGTTTGAAACCTTAGATAACAGAGTTATGAAACAGATGGCCTGTTTTAAGCATAAAGCGCCTGCACATGCACTCAGTTGCTGATCCAACACAATCTGGAACCACTGTCATTAGGGGTGCTGTGAATACTGAGCGTCACAGTCATTGGCGCAAAGTTTGTCTAAGGGTATGTGGTTGTGTGTGAGTGACTGGTTCTGGGTACAGAGTTGAAGAGCTTTCTAACGCTGTAGCAATATAAAAGCTTAAAGAAATGCAATGACAAAGAGAATACAGTGGTTCAACAGGCTGAAAAGCTTGGTCAATTCACTCTAACGGAGACTCTTACTATATTACTCGGATAAAAAGATTGTTATAATGAGATTTTCATATATCTTTCTTGAGGGTGTATCCTCCTATTTATAAGAGGTTAACTTTTTGTTCTTATCTTAGATTGTGTGGTCCCCTCAATCGATAAAAATTATTAAGAAAATATCTTTCCGTTAGAATATCTCTGACTATGACGATACTCCGCGTCCTTCTAAAAACAGGGTATTGTCATCTGGGAGGGCTGAACTCTTGAGGTCATTAGATGAGCTGGTTGAGCAGTGTTTGGTGGTCTGTAAAATTTTTCCTCCAGAGAAGCTTGTTGAAGGTAAGAAATCAGCTGGGAGGTCTTGCATGCATTGCATGACGCTAAGCTTTGTTTCTGCCATTAAGGAAATCATGCTGCTTATTGGCCATCTCAGCCCCAGTTTTTGAGGTCGGCATGTTCAATGTCGAGCTAATTAATTTCTGCACTTGATATGAAATAAAATATTATTCTGAAATATTGGTTGCTGATAAGGGCAATGGGCATTCATTCTTGAGAATTTGTGGAGAACGATAGACAAACACATATGATCCAAGTCCCCTAGTGGTATTGCTTAATCATAATTGCATTAAATGAAAAAAGTAATTACAAATGTGCTTACTAATTAAATCAATGAGATAATATGGATAACATATAAGTAATTATGGATTTATAACCTATAATACAAATAAATATAAACAAACAAGCTATTGATAGATTCACACCATATGCAATGCTTGATGTAACAACTGAATATTAACACTATCATTTAAAAGAATTAATTCGTGCTAGCGGCAATGTTGAGACAAACAAAATTTATTTAATTTTATTAATATCAAACATATATGAAATCATTATAATACTAAATTATTATCTCATTGTTCATTTTTTAGTTTAGATAATTGCAATTTTAGATTCTCCTACTAAAATTGAAGACAAAATTTAAGGGTAGGGAGTTAGGGTAATTTGGGAGTGAGCTACGTTCTAAACAATTCTTCCAAAAGAAATTCTTGGTAGATCATATATCACAAATTGAAGTAGACATCATTACATATAAGTGAGTTTCTCATTAATACATAGTTACTAATCTACTGAGGGAAGTGTAAGAACAAATATTAGAGGGGATCTAAGTCGAGTAATTTATATGGAAAACTTCAAATATGACTTCACTGAGTCTCACTCCAAAAGTCTTGGTTAACTCAACACATGTAATTTGTAGGTGTTTAGAGTTTACATTCCCAACTATGAATAAACTTGTATAATTGGAACGACTCTCAATATTGTAGAAAAAAAAATTACTAAAAAAAAAATTTACTGAAAAAAATCTACAAATGTTAGGCAACACAACAACCTATAGGGAAATGGTCAAGCGAACAAGCTCTACAATTTACAAGGACTAGAAATCCGATTGAAGAAAATATAAACATGATAATCAACTCTATTCACATAATATGTACTAATTTAAAGGAGAGTACGGTTTATGGTGAACTTTTTCTTTTTTTTCTTGGATAGTTGGAAAGCTCCTCCAAATTAGTTTTCGGACCAAAGTAAATTATGCATAACATCGGACGATTCGCCATGAGTACTGATATGGAGCTGAGCCCGATCTATCCAATCTTCCACATCAAAATCACATGGCTTTAACATGTTCTCTCTCACCCACAGCAGAATCTGAGGAATAGGCACCACTGGTGTTTGCACAGCTTGGCAAACTGTAATCCACCACATTGTGGTGCATGGAGCTTTGGTTGTTCTTGGGCTTCATTCTCGTTTGATATATCTTGCACAACACCAAATTTTCCAACTGTAGGAAAAAACAATGCTATGAGCTACTGTTGACCTATTGGTTAATCACTTATAAATCCATAACATGCATGTAATGGATCATGAAAAAAGAAAACAAATCATGGAAAATCAATAATTACCACTTTAGAGCTATAGATTTTTGAATCAGTTATACATTGAAAATATAAGTTATTCAAATTTTGAAAAAACCTAAAGAAATCATTTTTTTTTCTGGAGTAAAAGAAAATTTTATTATGCTACACTTTGAATATACCACATTATTAGCCAAGTTCACAAATTATGATCACCAATCCAGATTTAGACATAAGTAAAATTACTGCATAGTGCATACCTTTATGTCACCTGGAGCCCTACTTGGGGTATTCTGCAGCTTAACAGTGTACTCTTGCATTAGCCAGTTAGTCTTTCTTTGAGATCCATCTCTAGCATTCTTTTCACAAAAAACCAGCGACTTCTTGTACCCAACTACCCGACCCTTGCTACAAATTGGTTTGTCACCTCCTGAAGCCTTCCACCATCCATCACCAGTGTTTCGGTTTGGTCTGGTGCCATTAGCGTACCTCTTTTCCCTTGGGGTAAAGAAATACAACTCATTTTCTCCATATAATTTGTATCTCTCTGTCGTTCCAAGAATAACCACTGTTATTCATTCAAATATTAAAGATGAAGCATAAAAAAAAATAAAAAAAAGAACACTAAATCTAGATCAAAAGAGAAAAAGATTAAACTCATATACATAAAGAAAGAAGTGAATAAGTATCACTTTGGCCATTCGGTTTATCAGGCCTACCAATAAATTAAATCAATTAATTAGATCTAAATAATATTATTGGTACGTAAATATGTACAATATAGACAGGTACAAATACTCAATGAACTCCTATATGGGATTTAAAACATTCACATGTGGATGCATGAATACAATTGCTATATACATAAACACCTGCACGAGATATATTGAAAAAGAACTAACGAAAAAGTTGCTGGGGATTGAACTTGTAGAGATCGACATCTCTGATCCTGTTGGGAGCTAAGCATCGCTTCGAGATTTTGTTCCACAAGTAATGATCAATCAACTCCTGATCAGTGGGTTTAAACCGGAAACCAGGTGGTAACAAATCGAAGTAGTCGTCCGTGTACATTGACCCGCCCACGTTGTTCAAAACAGTTGCTTGTGACGCCATTGTGATTCGATTTTGTGTCCCCATTGTTGAACCCTAAAACAGAAAACTTGAACTGATTGAAAAGAAAAAAAAAACTGAGTGGATTTTGGGTTCAAGCGATTACCATTGCAAGGAGAGAAAAAACAGTATTTTGATTTTTGTTGACAGTCCCCATTGCGTGCGTTTGAATCACTTTCTCCATTATTGAAAGCTTGCGGTGAGATATTGAAAACGAGAGAAAGAAAAGACGGCGGTGAGAGGTTGAAAGTAATGGCACGAATACGAAATGTATACCCTAAAGAGACCAGTTTTTGTTGATCCTCAATTCTGATTGGCAGAGATATAACGCGGTTCCAGTCTATCCAACTTCTTTCATGAGCTTCCTCGATGTTTCTCTTCTTACATATCAGTAGGAGATTGGAGATGTTTGAGCTATTCGGCGGCGGGAAACACTTTTACTCCACTCAACCAATCCATCAAAGAGACCTATTATAGGACGAATCTAATTTGCCCTATATTTCATTTGGTCTTACAATGGGTATTTCTTATCAAGTTTTTTATTTTGAGTGATATGATATAATTTTTACTATTAAATAAGTAGGTTTCATTAGTATTCAATAATAGAAATTATGTCACATCATTTGAAGTGAAAAAAAAAAATTATTGGGGAGGGGGAGGGGGAGGGGGAGGGGGAGGGGGGGAGAAGAGAATTTGAACTTTGACCTCAAGAAGACGAAGTCTTCATAAGGCAAAGAGTACCATTTGACTAAAGGCCCATTGATATGAAGTAAAAAACTTGATAAACATAACATTCCCGTTAACTCATTGCATTCCTTCAAACAAATAATCTACTTTTATCCTATATTAAATTGATGATATGTTAGGCTCATTTTATAATTATTTAAGCTATGAAAAATGGTGAAAATTTGGTTACATAATTAAAAATGATCAATAATAAATCACTTATAACTTAATTGTAGTATTGATAATGAAATTACCATTTACAAAGTAACGCTTTCAAATTAAGAAAGCTTGTTGGAGTTAATGGTGTGCAATTACATTTCTATTTTTTTTTCAAGGGTTCTAATTAGTCCTTTTAGGTTAAGTATACGATACGAAAGGCTGTATTGTGTCTCCATTAATTTTGACTATCAATTTTAAATTAAATGTAATCTACAATTATTCAACGTCACAAAAAAAAAGATTTTTGTAGAAAAAACAAAAAAAAAGAGTTTTGTAGAAAAAACAAATTATGACAGTAGTGTTGTCACAAAATATTTATTTGTTGTTTTAAATATTATTTGAGATGGGTCATTATTGCCATAAAAACTTTTGAGATCCCACTTACTAGGGTTGAGATTGTGATAGCATTGACCGCTAAAGTAAGTGAAGTCTCAAAAAAAATCTGTAAATATGTTATTGTCCTAAAATCAGGGAACTACTTTGAAATACGTTGTTGTCCAAAATACTGAGCTACTTTAATTTCATCATTATAGTCCACTGGGTGGTGTATTGTCCTCAGGATGAATACCTGGGCCACAGTTAATTTGGGTGGGTCCCTTCGACCCAAAAAGAAGCGAGCCCAACCTGACAAAAAAATATTTAAAATAAATAATTGACCTTGGATTTATCTTGGTGTCTCTGGTGCACAGCTGTCTAAATGCAGTTTTGGATTTTGTCTGGTTAACAAAGAGTTTGTCCCTACATCCTACCATTAAGAGTGTAATAATACAGGAGCTCATTGTAAATCCCATGACTATGAATGATTAAGCTCAACTAGCAAATTAAGTCACTAAATTAAATTTAAATAATATTGTTTGTAAGAGTAATTCCAAAGGAAGTTGTCATTTTTGGGTGTCAAATTACTCATTTGTAACTTTGAACAGTGTTTTGGCACCTTGAATTATAAATTTGCTTCAATGACAGGTGTCAAAATGGAGTGTCATTTTTATATTTTTATTCATCAATCTATATGAATCGTTAGATCTTATATTCATCTAACGAATCTATATTCATTAACTCATTTACAACCTCTTCTTTCTCTCTTCGGAGTTACCAAAAATGTCACCCCTCTTAGAACCAGAAATTTTGAATTTGGGGTGGCATATGGTATTGTTACCCCCATATGCCACCCCCCTTGGAGTTGCTCTAAGAATGCATGAAAGATTCATAAACTTAAAATAATAATTTTATTTGGACATAATTTATTGACATAAGTTGTTGGGGCCTTAGGCAACAGCTTTGATTGCCTAACCTTAGGGCCGCCCCTGCGTGAGAAGTGTTTTTATTGTACTAAATTATATTGAATTTTAATCTTGGTGAAGGAAAAAAAAATAGTCTTCCGGCTTTTGAATTATTTATGTGTGTATATAAGTCCAAGTATCTCCAAAGCAAAAGGCATCTATCAATATCCAAAAAAACCCTCCAACCTTTTATTTCTCATCTTTGTCACTAACATCTGTTAGAATCATGTATCATGTATTCCACGGCCACAAAATCTCCACTACCCTTGGCACCATCGGCGCCAACAAATAGCTTTCCGGTGAACATCACCAACTACAACTATAACAACAACTTCCAAGGCCCACCTCAATTTCTTTCCACCACCCCAGCCCAGTGGTCAACCGGTCTCTGTGACTGCTTCTCCAATGTCTCCAACTGTAAGTGTTGGTGCATTATGTATTGTAATTGTTTCTCTAGCATTGTAATTTCACCAATAGTAAGCTGTATTTACAATATAGTAATTAAAGCTGTTTTTAATTTTTTTGACAAAACTGCTGTTCTGCTTTAAACAAAACGCTACCATCGGTGTTTTACTTACATTCTTAAACTCAAATTAATTTCTTTTTGCAGGCTGTTTAGCATGTTGGTGTCCATGCATTACTTTCGGAAAAATTGCAGAGGTTGTTGACAAAGGATCAACTTGTAAGCCGAAGAAAGTGTTAACTATGTTGAATGATTTAATCTATTCAAATTTTAGAAGGTTTGAGATTGAGATTAAGTATTTGTGATGGTAATATTGTATTGCAGCTTGTGGTTTAAGTGGAACACTATATGCTTTGATACAATATCTCACTGGTTGTGGATGTGTTTTATCTTGCGTCTATCGTTCAAAGATGAGGCAGCAACACATGTTGCCGGACAGCCCTTGTGGGGATTGGCTCGTTCATTGTTGTTGCGAGCTCTGTGTCTTGTGTTAAGAGTACCGTGAGCTTCAAAACCGTGGATTCCACATGTCCCTTGGTATATCAATCTCTCTCTCTCTCTCTCACCCACACACCCTCACAAACAAATCATACTGAGATCATTTCATATCTTTATTACCCTGTGACATTGTTGTCAAGTAAAAAAAATAAAAGCACATTGTGTAAAATTTTTCATCCTCAAAACATATTTTATAAACCCGTCTTTATATAAAATGGTATCCTTTTAAATTCAAAAAA